AGTGAATTGAAGAACTGGTTCTGACAGATTAAATAAAATCGACAAACTCTTACCCAATTTATCAAAAAAAAAAAAAAGAAAGAAAGAAAGAAAGAAAGAAAGAAAGAAAGAGAAAGACTCAAATCCACACAATTAGGAATGAAAACGGTGAAATTAAAATGGACCCTACAGAGCTGGGGATTTAGCTCAGCTGATAAGTGCCTGCCTGGCAAGCGAGGTTGTGAATTTGATCCCCAGTACCAAAAGAAAAAAAAAAAAAAATCACACTGCTTAAGATGTTAAGGATTGCTTAAAAAGCTGGGTGTGGTGGGCACTCCTGTAATCCCAGCACTGGGGAGGCTGAGACAGGAGGATCACTGCAAGTCTGAGACTAGCCTGTGCTACAAACTGAGCCCTAAATTCACTGCATAGTGAAACCCTACTCAAAAAGGCCAAAATAAATAAATAAAATAAAATGGAGCCTGCAGAATTCCAGATCATCCATACCTACTATGAAAACATATTCTAGTAAAATGGAAAATGCAGGCCAGGCATGGTGCTACATATTTGTAATCCCAGCACTTATGAGGCTGAGCCAGGAGGATCATTACAAGTTTGAGACCAGCATGGGCTACAAAGAGAGCTCAAGATCATCCTGAACTGCACAGAAAGACCCTGTCTCAAAAACACCAAAAAAGAAAGAAACGGATGGATTCCTAGATACATATAAATTACAAGCTGAATCAAGAGGATACAAAAAATCCTAAATAAACCAATACCAATAAATGAAATTGAAGATGTAATTAAAAACCTCCCAACAAAGAAATGCCCAGGCCCTAACAGATTCATTGCTGAATTCTATCTACAAGAATTTTACAGAAGATCTAACACAACTACTTTTCAAACTCTTTAATGAAATTGAAAGGGAAACAATATTCCCATTGGAATATTGGAGACAAGCATTACCACAATACCAAAGCCAGAGAAGGATCCAACTAAGAAAGAAAAATACATTCCAATTTCCCTAATGAACACAAATGCAAAAATCCTCAATAAGATTACTGGTAAACAAAATGCAACAAATCATCAAGAAGATTATACACCAAGGCCAAGTAGGATTCATCCCAGGAATGCAGGGATGGTTCAAAATATGCAAATCAATAAATGTAATACACCATACTAATAGAGCCAAGGAAAAAAATCATATAATCATCTCAATAGACGCAGAAAAAGTTTTTGACAAAGTCCAGCACCCATTCGTGACAAAAACTGAAGATTAAAATTAAAACCATATTTTCACCATGCACTAATTTAAATTTGGAGTGGATCAAAGATCTTAATATTAAAACAGAAATATTGGGACCGAGGATTTCACTCAGTAGTGTAAGCCTGGCAAGCACAAGGTCATGAGTTCAATCCTTGATACCCCCCGCCAAAAGGAAAAAAACCCCAGAAACATTAAATCTACTAGCAGACAGAGTAGATAAAACTCTTAAAAGGTATTTGTGTAGGCAAAGACTTTAAGAACCCTGACTGCACAGAAACTATCAAAAAAATCAGTAACTGGGATCTCATCCTATTGAAAAGCTTTTGCACAGAAAAAGAAATCATCAACAGAGTGAAGAGACAACCCACAATGTGGGAAAAAATGTTTATCAGCTGTTTCTCAGACAAAGAATTACTGTTGAGAACTTATAAATAACTCCAAAAAAAAAAAAAAAATCAGACCTTCCAAATTTAAAGACCCAATCCAAAATGGGCATCTAAGAGAAAAAACAGACTTCTCAGATGAAGAAATAAAACAGCAAATAAAAATATGAAAAAAATATTCAACATCATTGGTCATGCAAGAGATACAAATTAAAACAACATCTCATCATCTCATCCCAGCAAGAATGACTATTATCAAGAAATTAACCAATAATAAATGCTGGTGGGGCTATGGGGAAAAACAAGCTCTTCTCCACTATTAATAGGTGTACAGACTGGTTCAACCACTGTGGAAATCCATCAGATTCCTCAAAAAACTAGGATTAGAGGTCCCATTTGACCCAGCTATTCCCTTCCAGGTTTCTTCCCAGAAGAATTAAAAACATACCATATCTGCACCCATGTTTATAGCAGCACAATTTTTAATAGCTACATCGTGGCAACAGCCAAATGCCCATCAATCCAGGAATACATAAAAAAGATGTGATCGTTTTATACAACGGAGTTCTACTCAGCCATAAAGGACAGATAGAAGACTTTTATTATGTAAACAAAGGCAACTTGAGATCACACTCAGAAGTGAAATAAATCAGACTACTGTGTAAACATTGTATTGTCTCCCTAGTGTGAGAAGCAGAAGGAGTAAATGATGTAAAATGTTAAGAAGCTTCAAAAGAAGACAAACTGGGATAAGGGAATGGAGGAAAGGGAAAAGCAAAAAATAAAATACACACACATATATAGGATAGTTAACATAGTTATATTACTAATTTCTCTTAGTTCATTGAAAGATCTGTGCTAATATTGTTTGGACAATTAAATCCTGAAGTAACTAATTTAAAGATAATAATATGCAATGTATTAACCAGTTACTCTCTTATTATCTTGTTTAGAAACTGTTTTTTTGTCTTTAAAGTAAAATAAAAATAAAATTTCAATGTAATATTGGAAACATAAAACATTGTGGTGCTAGAATGCATTAAAAATGCATTCTCAAGGTAATATAGGTAAAAAAAGATAATATACTTTATTTCTTAAAAGCATTTCCCGTACAAATTGCCAAGATGTTTACTGTTCTTTCACAGTAAGCTGTATTCAGAGCTTTCCTGCACAAACTAATCAAGACTGAAATTTTAATACAGTAAGAACACCATCATGAGTAATTCATGAGAAAGTATAGGCTTCAAGTTTGGTCTTAGGGCACTCATTGGTAATCTTACTACTCTGTGAGGATCTCAAGTTTGGGCCTAACCTAGACATCCCAATTATTTAGTCAGACTCTGTTAAGGTTTCTCTTCTAGATGTCATCCCAAAGTTTCATGTGCTCCTACGTCGGAATTTGGGGAGGTGACTGGTCACTAAGGGCACAGCCTGGGAAGTTGTATCTCTCTCCCTTCTCCTGTGATCTCTCTCTGCTTGTCTCCCTTGCCATGAGCTGTTTTCCCTGCCATGCCTCTTTGCCATACCACCCTGCATGGAGCCACCTGATTATGAACTACAAACTGCAAGTCAAAATAAAACTTTCTTCTTTAAATTTTGGGTGCTGGGTATTGTGGCCCAGAAACTAAGACAGACCCTGTCTCAAAATAAAAAAGGGGCTGAGATGCAGGTTAGTACAAAGACCTTCCATTCAATTCCTAATACCATGGGTGGAGGAAGAAAGGAGGGACAGAAGGAAAGGCTGGCTTCAGAATTCAGAGGCCATCTAACTTTTTTGGAATGAGTTATAAATACTGGAATCTATAGGTATTATGAAAGTATCTGTATCTTACTTCTCAATAAGCTACAAACAAGTTGCAAAAAAAAAAACTTACTGGGTATACTATAATGGCATTACAAGCATGCACGGCCACACTTGGCTTATTTTCCAATTTTATTTTAAAATCAAAATAGCTTCCGTGTAACTGAGATTCTGGTTATTTTATAAGAATGAAAAATCAAGTAAACTAGAGTTGGTAATTCTAAAGCTTCAGATATTTTAGAAGCCAGAGGCAATGACAGAAAATAGAATATTATTTTGGGGCTGGGGATATAGATCAGTCACACAGTGCCTGCCTGGCAAATTGGCAAGTGCAAGGTCCTGAGTTTGATTCCTACAAAAAAAAAAAAAAAAAAAAAAAAAGAAATAAAGAAAAAATACTTTAGACAGTGAGACCTTTTTTTTGGCCTTGGGGGCCGTGGTGTCTCAAAGTGGTCCAACCTGGCCTCAAATTTGGCATTCTCCTGCCTCAGTCTTCCAAAGTGCTAGGATGACAGTCATGCACTCCTACATAAGGCTTAACAACGCTTCAAAATCGGACTTAGGACGCTGACTTAAAAATTAATACTAATATTGCCGTTTCAAAACATTTTTATCCTTTAGTAACTATTACCAAGTCTTCCTATCTCAGGAAGTGTGCAGAAGAGTTGCAGGTAATCAAAACAATGTATTAAATTTTACGATGAAAGACAGGTAAATATTGAAAATACAAGACTGGCTATGAGCTGACCGTTTCTTAACTTTTGTGTCTTTAACGTTTCCCAAAACAAAAAGTTAAGAAGAACTACATAAGCATAATTTTAAAAATTTACAGTTCCCCTAAAAGAGCATTTAAGATCAAATTTTTTCACTTCGCAATCATCCCACAGTCCTATTACCTAATTATTAAACGAAATTTCGTGGGTCTCGATCTGCTTTAAAGTTTTTGCTGGTGAGTTTCAAGACCTCACTGCAAAAGGCAGACGCTGAGAACACAAAGAGGAGAAGGGCAATCACTGGGCTCAGTCTCCACGCGAGGTCCCCTGTAATCGTCGGGGGTCTGCGACTGGGGCAGAGGCCGCTGCTTGTCTACGCAAGCCCGGGAATAAGCTCAAGCGACCAAACGGCCTGGCACAGGCAGCCTGGGTTTGGAGGTAGTCAGCCAGTTAAGATACTGAGACACTTATCTCTCAGAAACACTTCTGAGCCCAACACTGGGCTGCGCGACACCGAAGGGCAGGAACCCAGGCCCAGGCCGCGGTGTTAAGGCCTCTAGGAAGTGACACCTTCGGGCGGTAAAGACCACAAAAGAGCTTGACAGCTCCGGTCGGCGCCCAGCGGCCTTGCGACCCCGCCCCGCCCCTCCCCTCCCCGCCCCCGCCCCCGCCCCCGCCAGGGTCCCCTTTGGCGCCGCCGTCCCTAGGGCCCCACTTTCAGCCTGACTCCCATTTCCAAGACTTCCTGTTCTCCTCTCCACCACCCTGACTGTGTCGTTTGAACCCGGGGCCCCAGCGGGACTACGCAGAGCAAAGACTAAGAAGAGGACCCTTGAAGTTGACAATGCCACACTCACCTGACCGTATTCAAGCGTGAAAACCTGCAAGATCGACTTCCGAAACAAGGCTCAGCATCCAAAATGGCAGTTTCACCGGCCTCAGCACAACCAGCGGGAGCGGAAGGATCCTCGGGTCAAATTAACCACGCCTCTCCTCGCAAGGATTGGCTGCGCTCTGGCCGCTGCCGGGACCCACGAGGCCGCTTCCAGCTCCCTTGGGAGTCGGCGCGGCCAGGGACTATTTGCTGCGGCGGAGGTGCCGGTTGCGACATTGTCCCGTGATGACTGAGTCATCTGCTGAGACACTTCCCGGCTTTTGCCCTGAGTTTGGTGATATGGGAGGCAACTACCGGTTCTCTAACTCCGTGCTTAGTACCTTTGTCTCGGATTGGTCCAGCCCCTGGAAAAACCGGACTGCAGAATTGAGTTCCTCGCTGAAATTTCCTCAGTCCCAGTCTTGCCTTCCCTTCGCCCTCGTCGGCTTTGCCCTACGTCCTGGTTATTGTCTGCTGGTAGAGAGACTGGGCGCAGGTTTCGATTCCTCCCTAGCAGAGCACCATTGTCTGAGGGATTCTGCCCTCGCTGTCTCTGCATTTCCACCTGCTAACGCTGATTCCTCTGCTCTATTGTTAAAGCTGTCTTGATTATTCTTTCAACCACAGACTCTTGGGCCACGTTAAATTTAGCAATTTTCTACACTATACCACCCTGAACGTACCCGATCTCATGTAAATTCAGTAATGTTTCTTCAGCACCACGTTCTCTGGCAATTTCCTCTACGTATCGCTACGTATAGAGGAAACTTTTCATTCGATTATCTGTTTTTAACTTGAAAACCATTTTCTTGGCTTAGCATTGGCAGGGGTTTCCTGGACTCCGCTTCCAGAAAAAGGTAATCCTGCCCCCTGCTGTAGAGGCTGCGTCTGCCGAGATCAAAATTGTGATGTTTCATCGCCCTGGGGCACTCATCTGAGAGGTAAAGAGGCACGAGTTTCTGGGAGATTTTTATGAATACCAATACTGTCTCTATTGCGTTTTGCAGCATTTCGAAATAAAAACAGGTTCTGACAACTCAAAACACAACATTTGGTTTCTTGTAAGTGGATTTTTTTTTCAGTAAATGCATATGAAAATTGAATTATTCTGCAACAAAATCATAGCATTAAAAAAAATGAGAACAGACCGCTCCAATTTTAAGAGTGTAGAAATACGAACCCAAATGTAATGTATACCGACCTTATTTAGATATTTCAAGCAAGCCAGTTATAAAACATTTAGAGGATAATTGAGGATATTATATCATGGAGTGAGAAATACCAAAAAGCCCCAAAATTGTTATTTTATAAGAAAAAAATCCTGATATTTTAAGACAGGCATTGCAGAGGTAAAATGGCAGTAAAAATCTCGATAATTGGATGATGGCTATTATTGTATTATTTCCTCTACTTTTAAGTATGTTTTAAAATGTTCACAGTCACTAGGCAAAAGGTGGAAGCAATCCAGCTGTTCATCATGGGATGAATGGATAAACAAAAATATGTTTATGGTGATTTAACTTTAAAATTTTTGAAGCAGTGCATAAACATGGCAAACTACATACAGCTGAAAATGATATACACTGAAACTAAGTCTTTCTAGTCTGAACCTTAGTCATACAGTCCCCCTTTTTATAAGTAACCACTGTTACTAGATTCTTGTGGGTTTTTTTGGAAGTTACCTAAGCTATAATAATATCACTTACCTCTATAAAATTGTTGTGATTAAATGTCTAGTGTATGAAAGCTTAGAATGGTATTCAACAGATTTTGTTTTGTTTTGGTCTCACTATATAGTTCAGTCTGACTTTGAACTCACTACAAAGCCCAGGCTGGCCTCAAATTTTCAATGATGTTTGCATGTTTTGTTTAAGATAGGGTCTCACTGTGTAGTTTAGGCTGGTCTTGAACTCATTGTGATCCTCATGCCTAAGCCTCCAGAGTGCTGAGATTACAGGCATGTGCCACCATGCCCAGTTTGCATGGTTGTTGTTTTTTTAATACATATAGTTGCAAAATAGATATACTTTACTATAAAGTTTAATACATATAGTTGCAAAATAGATATACTTTACTATAATTTACTTTATGATATATATCCTGGAGATTATCCCAAACCAGTAGTTATCAATAATTCTCATTCTTTGAAAGGACTACATAATATTCCATTATATATGTGTACCTTAATTTTAAAGCAGAGTTGTACTGATAGCCATTAGGTTATTTCCAATGTTTTGCCTCTGAACAATCCTGCAGTAACTAGGTATTTGCCAGCATGACTTGTATTTACTGGGTGAGTTCCCAGTCAAAGGGTAGATACAATTTTTTAATAGATTCTGGCAATTCACCTGTGAAAAAGGAAGTACGAATTTGCACCTACATCAAAGTATTCTTTTTTTTTTCTTCTTTTTTGAGACAGAGTCTCACCATGCAGTTCAGGTTGGCCTTGTGCTCACTTCATAGCCCAGACTGGTCTTGAACTTTCAATGATCCTCCTGCCTCAGCCTCTCGAGTGCTGGAATTACAGGCTTATGCCACCATGCCTGGCACCAACACCAGACTATTGATAGTTTCTATTTTCCTGTGCCCTTGACATTTTAGCAACCTTGTTAAATCCATGGAAATAAACATAAGCTAAAAAGTGTCATTAGTCCATGGTCTAATGACACAATTCATTTAGAAAAATTGCTTCCTACTCAGGATTTGTTTGATTCAACAGTCACTACTTGTGTTCTGGGTCTCTGCAAAACCCACCTGTCTAACCATTCAGCTTCTGCAACAACTGTGAATTGTAATAACACAAGCAACCAGTTATTCAAACACTATCTGGGAGGATGAGAAGAGAGGCAGTATCTCTATCCCTGGCTAAAAAGACTGTTTTCATTCAGAAGCAAAGCATAATAAAAAACAAACTGACTCAGACTGTTTCACTTAAAAATCCTGTTTTGCTGTTAAGAGAAAAATTTCAGCATTTCTTCAGTTAACCTGTACTCTTATTTGTTTGTTTAAATCATTACAACTAATGGCTCTAACTAAAACTTGATTACAGTGTTTGAACCCAGTAAAATAAGAATCTCTCAGTAACAGGCCTGAAGGCCCATATCAGTCAATTCTATTTTTATACAATTTTTTCAGTTAAGCATGGCTTTTACATTGTTTTTCTGTTTGGGTTTTTGTTGTCTGTTTTTGAGCCAGGGTCTTGCTATGTAGTACAGACTAGCCTTGAACTTGCTTATATAGTCTGGGTTGGTCTCGGTACTTCCAATGATCCTCCTGCTTCAGCGTTCTGAGTGCTGGGATTACAGATATGCACCACCACACCAGGTTTTTACATTGTTGGGGGCACATGCCTATAACTGCAGCACTCAGAAGGCTGATGCAGGAGGATTGCCACAAGTTTGAGGCATGGGCTACATAGTTCAAATCAGTCTGAACTACATAGAGACCCTGTCTTAATAAATAAATAAATTAACAGTCCTTTTGTTGCCTACAAACCCTAAAATATTTACATACTGTCTGGCCCCTTATAGAAAAAGTTTACTGACTCCTGCAATAAAAGTAAAGTACTATATACTGTGTAAGAGAAAAATGGAAGACAATGGAGATGGAGATATTTGCATTAGGTACTGATGTTTGGAAATGAGAGCTTCGGGACTGGGGATTTAGCTCAGTGGCATAAGCGCTTGCCTTGCAAGCAGGCAGTCGTGAGTTCAATCCCTGGTACCGATAAAAACGAAAAAAAGACAAAGAAAAACAAATTAGGAAATGAGAGCTTCAGACAGCTCAGGCTAAAGAAGATAAAATGGAATAGGAACAACTTGGCTACCTTCTCAGGTCCATGGAAGAAATCAAGATGGTTTTCTACAGCATCTACAGAACAGTTCTTAAGAGCAATACTCAACATTTTTAATTAGGACTTTATACTAATATTAAGCATCTGTGTGTCATTTTGCAGTCTACAGGGGCTGGGGACAGAGCTCGCAAGCTCACAAGCATGAAGCCATGAGTTCAATTCCTGGTACCAAAAAAAAAAAAAAGCAGTCTCTGAAACACTTATAAATGCATTACCTCAACTTGAGGCTCACTATATGTCCAGGAAGCACCTGTAGGTCAGAAATCTTTATCAATTTTTATAGAAAAAAAGTGAAGTAACCAACCAAGGGCTAGCATCAATTGGAAATCAGATCATGAAACCAGATCTTGAGACAATATTTTATATTTTCCATATGCCCATATAATTTCCATTTTAGTCTTACATTTGTTTCCTGGGCCGGGCACATTAGTGCACCTGTAATGTCAACACTGGAGGCTGAGACAGGAGGATTGTTTTGAGTTGGCTAGTTTGGGCTACAAAGTGAGTTTAAAGCCAGCCTGAACTGCATAGTTCAAAAAACAGAACAAAATGAAAAATTTTTTTCCTGGTCTTACATTTAATCTGTTAATTGGATTTATCAATAAATACAAATAAAATGCATTAAATTACTACTCTTGCTTTGGAGCCAAATATATATTGATCAAAAGTTTTCAAAGTTTTAGTTGTATTAATATTACTTATCATCATTGTAATAGTCCTAAAAAACTCATTTTTCCTTAAATGATTTTAATGGAATAAGACTAGTAGTAAGTTTTCAGAATAAATTCAAAAGTTTAAACTTCACCCTTTAAAAATATAAGATTCTTATCAAAGCTGTAGCAATCTGGCATAAGGATAAAAATATGGGTCAATGAAATAGAACTGTAAGCCCAGAAATAAACTACACATTCACGGACAATTGATTTTTATCTTATTTTTTTTTATTTCATTTTTTTAAGTTGTCTCACCATGTAGTTCAGGCTGGTCTTGAACCCACTATGTAGCTCAGGATAGCCTCAAACTTTCTGTAATCACCCTGCCTCAGCCTCCCAAGTGCTAGGATTATAATTATGTGCCACCATGCTGGGCTGGATAATCTATTTTAAATAATAATATTGAGAGAATTCAGTGAGAGAAAATAAGTCTTTTTAACAAATAGTGCTAGAGGGGCTGGGGATTTAGGCATAAGCGCCTGCCTTGCAAGCAGGCAGTCGTGAGTTCAATCCCCAGTACCGATAAAAAAAGAAAAAGACAAAACAAACAAATAGTGCTAGAAAAGCTGGACAACCACAGGCAAAAAAAAGTTAAACTCTCCTGCTTCATACCATATACAAAACTAAGAATGGATCAAAGATCTAAATGTAAGAACCAAAATTATGAAAACTCTTAGAAGAAATAACAGGTGAAATTTTTCATATCTAAGTCCTAGTTTCTTAGTGTTGTAGTCAGGGATTTCAAGGAAAATAATTACATACAGGACACATAATTTATAGTATTATTTTATAATAGTTTAATATAAGAAGTATAGGAAATCTGTTCCCACTAAGATCCTAGGAATCCAGTCAAGGGCATGGATCCCATAGCAAAGTCCTACATGAGTCCAGCTGAAGACCTAGAACCCATGACAGTGCCCACCACGAGTCCAACTGGAGACCTAGAGCCCACAATAATATCTCACACAAGTTCATTTCACACATCTACACTGGGGAGGCCCAAAGGGCAGTGGTGGAAGCTAAAAAGTCTGTGCCAGCAGGATGAAAAATCTGTGCCAGTAGGTTGAGGAGTCTCTGCACTGGAGCCAGGAAGCAATGCTCGAAGTAAGAACCAGAGCTCCCCCCAAAAGTCCCACAGCCATCTTCAGTGACAAGGTCCTGAGTTCTGACGATGATAACAGCCAAGTTCATGTCAGGAAGCCAGCATGACAAGTTTCTCCTAGAGATTGAATAGCACTCATCTTCCCCTTCTGAGCCAGGAAGCCCTGAAGACCAGAGCTCCCCCAAAGTGAACCACAGTCATTCCAGCGATAAAACAAAGGTCCCAAGCTCCTCTGAGGATGAGAAGCTCAGGAAAGAAGCTTCAAATCAGGAAAGAAGCTCAACAATTTCCTCCAGGAGAACCAACAACACTCAACTGTTGTTCTCCAGTTCTTTATCTTGGCAACAATCCTCTGTGTGTCCACCACACAGCACCAGGCTGATTC